AGACAGATGGTAAACAGATGTGGGTGTATATGTAATGCTGTAACAATGCTGTTCCAGGCCATGATCAACACTCTGGAGCAGCGGCTCAAGCCTCTGGTGAACGCAGAGCTGTCAGTGCTGGTGGACGTCCTGCACCAACCTGAGCTGCTGTTTCTGGAGGGAACCGACGCCAGACACCGCTGTGAATCTGGAGGGTTCATATCCAAGTGAGAGACCAGGGAGGGGAGGCTGAGGGTTCATATCCAAGTGAGAGACCAGGGAGGGGAGGCTGAGGGTTCATATCCAAGTGAGAGACCAGGGAGGGGAGGCTAAGGGTTCATATCCAAGTGAGAGACCAGGGAGGGGAGGCTGAGGGTTCATATCCAAGTGAGAGACCAGGGAGGGGAGGCTAAGGGTTCATATCCAAGTGAGAGACCAGGGAGGGGAGGCTGAGGGTTCATATCCAAGTGAGAGACCAGGGAGGGGAGGCTAAGGGTTCATATCCAAGTGAGAGACCAGGGAGGGGAGGCTGAGGGTTCATATCCAAGTGAGAGACCAGGGAGGGGAGGCTAAGGGTTCATATCCAAGTGAGAGACCAGGGAGGGGAGGCTGAGGGTTCATATCCAAGTGAGAGACCAGGGAGGGGAGGCTGAGGGTTCATATCCAAGTGAGAGACCAGGGAGGGGAGGCTGAGGGTTCATATCCAAGTGAGAGACCAGGGAGGGGAGGCTGAGGGTTCATATCCAAGTGAGAGACCAGGGAGGGGAGGCTGAGGCCGCTGCTGTGTCTGACACTGTGTGTGTGTGTGTGTGTGTGTGTGTGTGTGTGTGTGTGTGTGTGTGTGTGTGTGTGTGTGTGTGTGTGTGTGTGTGTGTGTGTGTGTGTGTGTGTGTTACAGGCTGATCCAACACACTAAAGCTCTGATGTCGTCTGAGGAGAAGTTGTGTATTAAAGTTCTCAAGACTCTGCAGGAAATGCTTCATCGTAAATTTGACTTCGATGAAAAGGTTTCACTTTTTTGATCCGTATTTTAACATGTTTCATCTTTACTGTTGTGTTCTCATCTTTACTGTTGTGTTCTCATCTTTACTGTTGTGTTCTTCAGGGATTCTCTTTGAGGAAAGTTCTTCTACAAAACTATCTTTTTCCATCAAAAAAGAACAATCCCAAAACTGACTTGGCCGAGCTCCTGTCGATAGGTATTTATGTTGTTTAAAGAAGCAGATTGTAGTCTGATGTAAGTCTAAGACTGAGGTCTAAGGACTAAGTTTAAGTCTGAGGTCTAAGGACTAAGACTGAGTCTGAGGTCTAAGGACTAAGACTGAGTCTGATGCAGGTCCAGAGCAGGAGAAAGACGGGGCTGCGGTGGCAGCGACTCAGTGTCGGCTCGATCGAGAAGGAGGAACCAAACTGTTCGCGGACTTAGTCATGAGCACCAAGAACGAGAAGATCTTCCAGGAGAGCATCCAGCTGGCCATCTGTCTGCTGGACGGAGGAAACACAGAGATTCAGGTACGAATACACGGTGGATGTGCTTTTCTCACATCAGTCACTGAGTTTCTTCTGTCTTTCCACAGAACTCTTTCTACAAGCTGATGATGGGAGATAATAAGTCAGAGAAGTTCTTCAAAGTCCTGAATGATCGAATGAAGGAGGCGCAGACGGACATCAAAGCCACTGTGTCCGTGAACGTGGGAGAGATGAGCCACAAGGCCAACGAGAAGGAGCTGGACCCAGGTCTGAACAGACACTACTTTGGTCTCTGTGGAAGAAGCTGTAACTCTGATTGTTCTCTTTGATTGTGAAGGTTCCCCCACAGGGATGGCTCTTCCTGGACCCCTCCTGGTCCAGAACCAGGTCTCAGCTCACACTGAACCTCAGCAGACAGAGGTGGAGACAGAGATGGGTCCAGCTGTTACCATCATGAAGCCCATTTTACGCTTTCTCCAACTGTTGTGTGAAAACCACAACCACGACCTGCAGGTGAGCTCTAACTCCACACAGAAAGTCTCTAACAGGACTGAGTCTCGTCTGCCTTTGGTTCCAGAACTTCCTGCGGTGCCAAAACAATAAGACCAACTATAACCTGGTGTGTGAGACGCTGCAGTTCCTGGACATTATGTGTGGCAGCACCACAGGGGGTCTGGGTCTACTCGGACTCTACATTAACGAGAGCAACGTGCCGCTCATCACCCAGACCCTGGAGACTCTGACTGAGTACTGCCAAGGGCCCTGCCAGGAGAACCAGGTGAGCCCCAGGCCTGGCAAAGCCCGTTATTATAATCATATGTTTCAGTAAAAGGATTTTCTCTGATGTAGACTTGTATCGTGACTCATGAGTCCAACGGCATCGACATCATCACTGCTCTCATCTTGAACGACATCAGTCCCCTCTGCCGCTACCGCATGGACATGGTGCTGGAACTCAAGGTTTGTCAAAGACTCAAACATGGACATGGTGCTGGAACTCAAGGTTTGTCAAAGACTCAAACATGGACATGGTGCTGGAACTCAAGGTTTGTCAAAGACTCAAACATGGACATGTTACATAACAGGCACTGATCAAGCCCTGTGGAATCCAAGATGGCGGCCTTCTCATACAGTATCAGTGGCTTGTGCTCAGTAGTGCATGGGACATTGACGGGGACCGAAATATTAGCGGAACTCGCCCATATTTGGTCATATCTCTGGTCCTCTGGGTTCTGTGCAGTGAACGAGCTCCCATGATGCTTTGGGCCAAATATGCGTGTGTGGCTCTCATGCACGTGCTCAGAGGGGCTCGGCCGTGCTCTGAGGAAAACAAGCAGAGTTGGTTGTATTAAAGAGTGGATTTAAAGAAAATTGGGGGTTTAGCAACAAGGTCAACCTGTTTTAGTTTACATGGAGTACTATGGGACATTTACATGAATTTAGTCTGCAGTACCACAGCGCCCCCTTTGGCCATGGGTGGGACAGATATAAGCTGTAATACCCTATCCAGACATTATTATAAATCCATGGCCCTGATCTGTTAAAATCACTAAATGTTCTCCCATTTTAGTATTTCAAGTTAAGATAAGATAGACTTTTTGATCTCACACTGGTCACACTTGTCATGGAAGGTTGAATTTGTTGTGTTGTTTTTTAGGACAATGCGTCGAAGCTTCTGCTGGCTCTGATGGAGAGTCGACACGATAATGAAAACGCAGAGAGAATCCTGTTCAACCTCAGACCGAGAGAGCTGGTACCAGACCCAACAGGCCTACACATACATATACATATACATATACATATACATATACATATACATATACATATACATATACATATACACATACATATACATATATTCACAGCACTAGTGTCTTCCTTGGGCCCTGGTTGTACAAACATGGCGTGTCTCCCCAGATGGATGTGATAAAGAAGCTGAACCAGCAGGACCCAGACTGTGAGGGTGAAGTTTCCCCTCAGGACGTGGGCCATAACATCTATATCCTGGCCCAGCAGCTGGCGCCACACAACCTGGTGCTTCAGGGACTTCTGAAGCCTCAAAAGAGACAGCAGGAAGGCGACGACAGCCTCAGCTCCATGGTACTCTCTTTTCTGTCATTTCTTACATCATTTGTCCATGATGTTAGGCAATCTCACTTCTTCTTCTTTTTGAAGAGACATTGCTTACTTAAATGAGCAATATCTAATAATGTGTCCAAAAGTGGTACTGCAGCCTCTCCCACTCTCCCTGACTCAGGTTGCCAGATATGCAGACGAATCCAGCTGGGACCATAACAGCTGAATAGACAAGAGTTTTGTCAACAACAAATCTATAACCAACACCTTTTTCACAAAGATAGAAATCCTGGTTTTATTCCTTGTTTTGTCGTTAATGATTTGAGAATCATAATGAGACCTGTTTTAGTTCTGTGCCACATGGTACTTTACCAGTGAGATTAGCTCCACACGGTGAGTTCTGGCGCCCGGATCACAGACTTTCTGATTGGTGAAACGGTGGAGGGCGGGACATTGAAATGAAAACAATAACAAGATTTAGAGGCTGGAAAAGTAATTTAGAAATTCAAATATCTCTGAACTACTGTTATCAGTTAAAGAAGGATTGGAAAAGAGCATGTTTTATTAATGCCTTTGGACAGATTAGGGCCCTTTAATGATGACAGATTAGGGCCCTTTAAAGATGACAGATTAGGGCCCTTTAATGATGACAGATTAGGGCCCTTTAAAGATGGCAGATTAGAGCCCTTTAATTATGTCAGATTAGGGCTCTTTAATGAGGACAGATTAGGGCCCTTTAATTGTCACTTTATTGTTATTTTCTCATGTTTCTAACTTGGTCTCTTTCTCTCCTCACAGTTAAACTTGAACAACCGGCCTCTGTCGCAGATGTTGAAATCTAGCGGCCCCCCTGTTGTGGTGGAGCAGGACCCTCTGGACTATTACGACCAAATCACATCCCAGATTGAGGTTTGAACTCCTCCTTCAGATGTGTTCAGAACATAGTATATACAGTAAGAACCTAAAACATGCTCAAATCCCACTTTTGTCCCAATGCCATAAACACGTCCTATAGATCTGCTGCTAGTTCCAGGCTGTCACATCTTAAATCCACATTAATACCAAAACAATGAAAGAAGTAAAATGCTAAATACTTTAGCGTTTTTAGCAAAGTTAGCATTCCTCCTGTGGATTTTCACCTGGTCCACTTGGTTCGGACCATGAATCCTCTCTGCTCTGGTCTGGACCAGTGTAAAACCATGAATCCTCTCTGCTCTGGTCTGGACCAGTGTAAAACCATGAATCCTCTCTGCTCTGGTCTGGACCAGTGTAAAACCATGAATCCTCTCTGCTCTGGTCTGGACCAGTGTAAAACCATGAATCCTCTCTGCTCTGGTCTGGACCAGTGTAAAACCATGAATCCTCTCTGCTCTGGTCTGGACCAGTGTAAAACCATGAATCCTCTCTGCTCTGGTCTGGACCAGTGTAAAACCATGAATCCTCTCTGCTCTGGTCTGGACCAGTGTAAAACCATGAACACTGAACTGCAGCAACATCTCAGGTCCAGATCTCTTCTCCTCGGTACATTGCAGTCATCTTTGGTCCTTCGTCCTTCATCCGGGCGGCACAGTGGCTGAGTGGTTAGCTCTCTCGCTTCTCAGCAAGTAGGTCCCAGAACAAGGCCTTTCTGAGTAGAGGTAGCATGTTTTCCTCGTGCCTACGTAGGTTTCCTCCGTGTGCTCCGGTTTCCTCCGTGTGCTCCGGTTTCCCCTACCACTAAAAACATGCACAATAGTTCTGAATGTATTGAGTGGGTAAATAGATGGTGTTTGGTCGGAGGTTTTGATGGATCAGTGTGTTCTGCGTCTTCCTTCCGTCATCACCGTGTGTGAATGAAACATATCTGAACATTGTGAAGTGCTTTGGGTGACCTTGGTCTGTAAAGAATGCGCTACATAAATAATCATGACTAACTTACGACAAAGTTTGAGGTTTTTAAATAGTCGCTCCTTTGCGTTCACAGATTGTGCGTGAAGACCGCAGCATGGAGAAGATTGTGTTCCCGATTCATCCCATTTGTGAGTTTCTGACGGAGGAGTCGAAGGTCCGGGTCTTCAACACCACGGAGCAGGACGAGCAGGGTTCAAAGGTCACGCACTTCTTCGAGCAGACCACTTTCCTGCACGGAGAGATGGAGTGGCAGAAGAAGCTCAGGAGTGCGTACACATACAGCGCAGAAAGACCTATGTACCTGACTTTACATTGACTGTCTTTTCTCAGGCATGCCGGTGCTGTACTGGTTCTCCCGGAGGATGACTCTGTGGGGTGCCATCTCCTTCAATCTCGCTGTTTTTATAAATCTCATCATTGCCTTCTTCTACCCATACGACGCAGGACAAGGTACGACTTTTTAGAATTTTGATCAAAAATATAATACATCATTTGAGCACCTATATCCCATGGATCTATAATAATAACTGGATAGAGTATTACTAGCTTAGAGCTGTCCCACCCATGGCCACAGGGGGCGCCGTGGTGCTGCAGACTAAATTCACGAGGGCTACCCAGAAAAAAGTCCTATAGATCTCGGTGTAAACTAAAACAGCTCGACCTCGGCTGACAGAGAACCTGACAGAGAACCTACAGTTTTCAGAAATATCAGATTTTGTGGGGATTTGCTCTGATCAGCAGCTCTGATTGGTCAAAGCGCAGCCGAGCCCCTCTGTGCACGTGCATGAGAGCCACACATGCGTATTTGGCGCAAAGCATCATGGGAGATAATCCACTGCACAGAACCGGGAGGACCAGACGATGCCCAAATATAGGCAAGTTCCTCTGAAATGTCAGCGCCCGTAAAGTCCCATGCACTGCTGAGCACAAGCCGTTCATTTGAATACGGCGCCATCTTGGATCATCAGGGCTTGCAGTATCCAGATTCTATTCTCACAATATTATCTTATTATTATTCTTATTTTCAGATTGTTACTTTATTGTTATTTTTATTGTGAAATATTGTGGAAGCTACTGTGACAACGCAATTTCTCTTGTGGATCAATATAGTGTTAAGTCTAAGTTATGAATCTTTTCTGAAATGTGAAAATGTAGTGTAGAATTATTCACCCGGATTCTTTAGAGCCAGACCGAAAATCTAGCCCTACTCTGACTTTGTTCTACTACAGGACGGAGACTGGAGCTTTCAGACCAAAGGGCAGAGTTCCAAGTTTGTGCCTGAAGTTACTGAGAGCGTAGCCTGGTCTTACCACACCATCGTACTAATTTCATTCTGTACTAAGGTCTGGATTTGTGTCGGGAAATATGAATCGACCAGAGTTTACAGATGGCTCAGGCCAGAGTACTGTGACTTTTGGATCTGAGAACAACTGGATTATTCATAGTTCAATCTTAAATGATTAATTATCCTTAGAACAACTACTGGGCCTGGATTGGACTTCCACTGAACTGGTAACATCAGAAGTAGACTATAACATCTAACCATGAATCAGAATGAAACCAGAAACCAGCAGAGACCTGGTATAAGAAAATCTTATGGTTGTTTGAAATTTGGGAGGGAGGAGACCCCAGGGAAGACCCAGGACACAGGGGCTATGTGTCTCAGCTGGTCCGGGAACGCCTTGGGGTCCCCCTGGATGAGCTGGAGGAAGTGTGTGTGGATAGGGAAGTCTGGGCGTCACTGCTTAGGCTGCTGCCCCGCGACCCGGCAACGGATGAAGCGGAAGAAAATGGATGGATGGATGTTTGAAATTTGTCTCATCTTGATCCCAGGTTCCATTGATGACTCTGTCCTCCTGATGGCTTTCTGGATCCTGGCCGGGGTCACGGTCTTGGCTCTCCTGGCTCAGAAGTACGGACTGCGGCTGTTGACTCTGGCGCTGATCCTGCGCTCGGTGTATCACCTCGGTATCGCCAACACCCTGATGCTGCTCGGCTCGCTCAATGTAAGACGTACATGACTGCTAGTAAAAATATTAAAGGAGCAGTATGTAAAAATCTGGCCAAAAGTGGTACTGCAGCCTCTCCCACTCTCCCAGAGACAGATTATGGCTCTTTGATGATGACAGATTATGGCCCTTTAATGATGACAGATTAGGGCCCTTTAATGATGACAGATTAGGGCCCTATGATGATGACAGATTAGGACCCTTTGATGAGGACAGATTAGGGCCCTTTGATGAAAGATTAGAGCCCTTTAATGTTGGAGGATTAGAGCCCTTTAATGATGACAGATTAGGGCCCTTTAATGATGACAGATTAGGGCCCTTTGATGATGACAGATTAGAGTCCTTTAATGATGACAGATTAGAGCCCTTTAATTATGACAGATTATGGCCCTTTAATGATGACAGATTAAGGCCCTTTAATGATGACAGATTAAGGCCCTTTAATTATGACAGATTAGGGACCTTTAATGATGACAGATTAGGGCCCTTTAATGATGACAGATTAGGGCCCTTTAATGATGACAGATTAGGGCCCTTTAATGATGACAGATTAGGGCCCTTTAATGATGACAGATTAGGGCCCTTGATGACGACAGATTAGGGCCCTTTAATGATGACAGATTAGGGCCCTTTGATGACGACAGATTATGGCCCTTTAATGATGACAGATTAGGGCCCTTTAATGATGACAGATTATGGCCCTTTAATGATGACAGATTATGGCCCTTTAATGATGAGTGGACATGAAAATCTTACATATTGCCACTTTGTGAATGCTGATTCTAAATACAAATAAACATTTCATCATGAAAAAGCCTTGACATCCAAGCACTGCACAGTTTATGTTAAAGGTACAACTTAGTAAGTTCCCCATTCAGAGTCAGAGGAGGTGAAGGTCATGGCAAAGTCTGGGATCGTGTCTTTAATTCAGACAGAAGACATGTTTTATTGTCGGTGGTAGAGGCAGCACGATCAAAGATGTTACAGAAGGCAAGAGATATTATACCGTCCAATCAGCATTCGCCACAGTGCTAGTAGCTTGGCCTTCAGAAAACCGAAAACAAGTAGCGTGAAAGTACTGCCTTGTGCATATTGTTAGAATGAGTTAGTACTTTAACCACAGTTGCTTCAAAGTGTCATGAAATATCCAAACACAGATACACAATCATAGCAGATACACAATTGGAATCCTTGTGACTGTGTATGCCAGATTACTTGTATATATTGTCTTGCGTTTATCCACCTGCGTAGGCCATAGCTCTCTCTCTTCTCCATACTTAAAACACATTTGTAATGACCCTGGCGCTGCACTGAACCTGTTGTCGCGGCCCACAGCTGCTGAACAAGGTGGTGTTTGTGGTGAGTTTCGTGGGGAACAATGGAACCTTCATCATGGGCTACACGGCCATGATTCTGGACGTGGAGTTCCTGTACCATCTGGCCTACGTCCTCACCTCTACGCTGGGTCTGTTTGTGCACGAGCTCTTCTACAGCATCCTCGTAAGTCTGGCTCAGTCTGCGTCTATCCTCATCCCGCTGGATTCTATCATATCTTATTAAATGTGTTGTTTTACCTACTTGTTTTTCAGCTTTTCGACCTGATCTACCAAGAGGAGACTCTGCTGAATGTGATCAAAAGTGTGACTCGAAACGGTCGGTCCATTCTCCTCACGGCGCTGCTGGCTCTCATCCTGGTCTATCTGTTCTCCATCGTGGGGTTCCTGTGTCTTAAGGACGACTTCATCATGGAAGTCGACCTGCTGCTGCCGCAAATCACTCAAGGTTTGAAACAGCTTCAATCCATCCATCTTCTTCCCCTTGATCCATTTCTGGGTCGGGTAAAGGGGGGGTTGGGTGGCAGTCAGAGCTGGACCAGGCCCTCACTGATCCTCCTGCAGGTGCTGAGTCCACAGGAGGCTGATGTAGGATCTTACAGCGTAAGCTTCAGGCAAATTGGGTTAAGTGTCTTGCCCAAGGACACAACGACAGCAGACATCAGTGGGAGTCGGTGGAGACGGTCTTGTGGTGGGCTCGAACACAAGACCGTCGAAGAACAAGTTGTGCGGGTCCCGGCTCCCAGCTTACAAGCTGCAATCTCACTCCTTGCTGGTGGGGGTGTACCCGGAAAGAGAATTACCCAATGCTTTTGAATGGCGTCTTCTTTCCTCTCAAAAACACCTTTACAGGATTTTCCAAAAGTGGCTCTTGGTCCAACACTACCTTCCAGATGTCAAGAGTAATACACAAATACAGTACATCTGGGGCAGGGAAGGATGGATGGTTGGATAACTATATACATGGAAGGATGTATATAGAGGGGGGAGAGAGGAATGGATGGTTACTGGAGTCAAAAGTAATGCATAAATACATTTGAGAAGTACCGGAGTCGGTGGAGTTACAGACGAAGACAGTACTGTGTGATTTCAGCTGCAGCGGGGCAGAGTGAGGACTTCATTCGGTCTTGTTCTCCTGATGACGTGGGCTGCAGCTTGGAGACCTCTTCTCTGACGCTGGATAACGGGGAGGAGGGTGAGAGCAGCTCCGGTTTTATATCTTCCAGTTTTTAATCATTCAGT